TCCAAACTGCCCACCTTCGTCAAGCTGTTTGACTGTTCTCGACACATCCTGTTCGGTCTCCGTAATTCTTTATTTTTATTGGCAATGTTTCCCGAAGGAGTACAGTACTTATGCGTCTTATGAGCATCCCCTTCCTCTGGACTTTTTAATTTCAGAGGAAGGAGCTGCCTGGAAAGCGAGCGATGGTTTGGAGGAGAGGCGAGTACCTAAAACCGTTTCCACGACCACCTCCCGCTTAACCCGAAACACGTCCACCGCTTCCCCCACCAGGCGCCTCTTCCTCCGCCAAAGTCTGTCAGGTGGCTGCGCGGGTTGGAGTTGCGCGCCAGGGGCGGCTCGGTTGTTTTCCCCCCCTCCCTCCCACCTATTTCCGCGGGTCGTCCCGTGACGCGAAGTGTCAGTCCGGACGAGGAAAACTCGCGCGTGTTGACAGCTCGAAGGGGAACCGTTCGCATCCTCTTTCCAAAGTTGCTTCGCCGACTCCGGGGGGCGGGAAAGTGGCTTCGGCCTTTCCCCTCCCCTCCTTGCACGCGAGTTACGTCACGCGAGGAGACGGGCCAGCCAGAAGGTGAACGAGAACAACCCCGCCGAGAGGAGGCACTTTTGCTTTCATAACAAGGAAACCGACCCACCGAAACTGGGGAGAGTTACACAAACGGGGCTTTCCTCCCCAAAGGCTCCGCCTCCTGCTTGTCGCCTGGCCTCTTTCCAGGAGCCGCGCGGGGAGAGTGATTCAGCGCCACCTCGCTCCATATATATACACACACACACCGGATATGAGGTGTCCTCGACTCAATCCCAGGCTCGGCCAGCAGCCCTCAGCAGACGCCGTCGCCTCCCAGGCTCGGGGCAAACGAACTCTTTGCTACCTTTAGCTCCTTCTGAGCGTTACTCAACGGGCAAGCTTTCTTCCATGTGTCCCTTTCCCAACAAGCTACGCCCATATAACGTTTAACAGCTGCTTTCTCTTCAAGGCGGTGGCCCTGGCGGGGAATGAGCACCTGTGAGAAAACATTTGGCTGGCATTTTCAGCATCTTCAACCAAGAAAGGAGGCACCGAACACAAATGGGTATGGGGTGAATGCACGGAAGAATGCACGTTAAAGACAAGGATTATGTATCTCTTGTGTTCCAGTATATGAGCCTCAAAGGGATGGTGATGGGGCAGTAACTAACTGTGCAATCCCGTGCAGAAGCAGTGGTGTAACAGACAGATCTCACAGGGTCAAAGCCCTAGAACTACCTCAGCAACAGGGACTCAAAACCATCCACAACTTTCTTTTACCTGTTTTTTTCTGGTTTTAGTTGCAGTCTCTCCAGCAGCTAGGGAGAGGAAAGAACAATACCTTCTTGCAAGCTATCCCTGTTGTAATGTATAATATTGAAAGGTGGTTTGGTCTTCAATGAACAACAAAGAGCCGTTAGCCTTAGAAAAGACATGCTCTTGGTATAAACAAAAAAATGATTGAATTCATTTGATATGGGCCAATCCAGCTGCCTGTAATTTTGGACAACTAAGTGGAGTGTCATAACAAACACTGACACTTTTGAATTTACCACTATACTACTACTTTGGGATAAGCTTTATTGTGTCCAGTAAATATGCAGAGTGTGCTATTCTGTGGGCTAGAAGCAATTTGAACTTGTGTGTGTGTCCATGTAAGAACCCACCCAAGATAAAAAAGGGAGGAAATACAGATACTTCTGTGGTTCTTAAATGGCGTATTGTAATTGCAACAGGTAAAACACAAGAGGAAAAGTAATCTGCAATCTCCCCTCCTGACTGTGAAGCTGAACTTGTATGCCAGTCTACATGGTGGGATCCCTCTGAACATAGCTGAGAGCGATGTGTGCTATGTGCACATGAAGTTGAAACCATATAGACCTTAGCAGGACTTTCAAAGTGAGATGTTTAAGGAGTCGTAGCTCAGTGGTGTTAAGTATCTGGCTGTGGAGCCAGAGATTCAAATTTAATTCCTCACTGTGCCTCCTGGGATGACAGACAGCCTGTACAGTCTTGGGCAAGCTGCAGAATCTCAGGGTGCCCCAACAGGAAGGGAATGGTAAACCACTTCTGTGTATGCTCTACCTGGAAAACCCTGGAAAGGGTCGCCATGTCAGAATCAACTTGACTGCACGCAGTTATTATTTACCTATTCCACCACCACCCTGTGAGTTTCCATGGCTGGACTGAGATTCAAAGGCAGCACTCCTGAATCCTAGTTTGTCACTCCTTCCACCACCCCACAACGGGTATCTGAGATCTACTTCAGAGTAACAAACAAAACTGCAAAAATGTTGTAACAATGATGGCTGCAAACCAGGCCAACAAGACCCCTTTTTTGCTTCATAAGGTAGAGCAGCAAATGGGACACCCCTCTCTTTGTATGGTATCCAAAGCCAATCACATAATTTTAGCACACAAAACCGACCTCCTCCCCCCCCACACACGTATCTCTTTTCTGCAAAAAAAAAATAGTTACAATGTGCAGATCCCGAGCATACTACAGGGCATCCCAACTACAGTACCCCCCCCCCAAGGCAGGCAGTCGCCTGACTCTGGGCAATGGCCGGTCTGGTCTGCTGCTGGTTGTAAGGAGAGAAGGGGAGCTCATGCGACGTCTCCCCACCCTCTCCGGCGAAACAGGCGCGTGACTGGGCCTGGTCCCCTCCCCCGGAAGTGAAGCCACGTGAGCTCTTTGTGCTGGGTGGTTTCCACCACGGACAGCTGGCCCTCGGGTGACCACCGAGAGAGAGCTGCCCAGCCCGGCCGCGGTGGCCTCTCACTTCCCTTTGCGCAATCGCTGCCCTCGTCAGACCGGGCCGCCTTTCGTTTCGGGCGCCTGCCTCAATTACTCGCGGGGCATTTACATTTTAGTCACGACCTTCCCTCCCAAATCCAGGAACTGAGGAGGACTCATCCTTGAGCAAGAGGCTGACTTTCCTGCTTCGCTCATGACACATTTTCTGACATGCCCGCCAGATGTATTCACCTACCCAGGCGCAGCCTCGCCTTCTCTGTTCACTCCGTTTAGTAAACACGGAAAGCCGCTTTCCCGCTTCAACGGCTGAACTTTGGAGCCGGCTCCAGCCGGAAAATGAAGAGGGGGGGTTAAAAAACAAACCCGCCCTTTGGCGGGAGCTGGATTCGTCCCAGCGTCGTTGTTTAAAGCCGTTCGCTTATCTCGCCATGTCAAAGCAAAATAAACTTTACTAACGCACGTGTTTACTCAATGGGGGTGAGTCGAGCCGTGAGAGACTTTCGTTCAAGAAGTCACATGGCTTTGTTGCGACTTTTGTTTCTTCTTCTTTAAACACATAGGCATATATTGTAGCTCGCTCGGAGCGTACACTGAATACAGTTCATTTCTGGAAGGCGGGGGTGGTGGGAAAGGCGAATTTTCCTTCACAAGAATGGAACTGACGTAATGCTAATTTTTCCTTCTTGAGCGCTTTTCTGCTTCACTGAATTAACAGAAGGCCTACAGAGGAGGGGAAATCTTTGCATTCAGGCATCAAATCGGGTTCTTTGTGGGGGGGGGGATTTAATGGTAGGATCCCGATAGGGCTTGAGCCAGGATCTTGTGTCTGAGCCGGACAAATGGTAATAGGCTATACTGTAAAGTGGTTTGTACGAGCCACGTTGGCTAAAGTAATAGGGGTCCAGATCCAACTTTCAGTCCTAACTAGAGTAGACCCATTGAGTCGATGAGACTTACACAAATGTTGATAAATCAAAGCGCCTTTGATTGGGTGTGTTTACGCTGATTGGGACTGGCAGTTTATTTTACACCAGGGACTTCAGTAAGATTTCTTAAGGAAAGCACTTGGTGGCACGTAGCTTCCTCTGTCTCCCAAGTGACTGAGGTAAAAAAAATATACTTGTCTCCAAGAGCAGCCCGATCTGCTCTGCAGTGTGAGGAATGCTCAGGAATCGGCGTCGTGACTTGTTTGCCCCTCTTTAAAAGCAGGGGCGACGGGCGTCTGAAACGGCGCGGAGCGAGCGAGAACCGGATCGGAGCCACCGCTGTCGCCTCTGCCGTTCACTGCAGCAACGCGCCCGGTAACGGAGACGTTTCTTTAAAAGCACGGCAGTGCCTGCCTGTCTCCCCGGCGGGCCAGGACTTTTTAGAAGTGGACTCACGAGCAAGGGGCAACTCCAGACCAGACCAGTAACAACAGGCCCAGAAAACCGAGGAGGCGAAATCCACAAGTCTCGCCCCCGCCGCCCAAGTAGAAGAGATGGACAGAGCAAGGGGCTGGTTGCAGAGTTGGGAGTAGACCTCTGAGGAGAGGGATCTAGGCTCGCATCCCAGCGAGGAAATGTAGGATCGGGCTGCGAGGCTCGACCCGGTGGCTCCCTCCTTCCCCTCAGTCCAGGTTGGCCGGGGTTCACCTCACAGCAGCTGGAGACTGAGGCACAGGCCGCCCAAGTAGAAGAGATGGACAGAGCAAGGGGCTGGTTGCAGAGTTGGGAGTAGACCTCTGAGGAGAGGGATCTAGGCTCGCATCCCAGCGAGGAAATGTAGGATCGGGCTGCGAGGCTCGACCCGGTGGCTCCCTCCTTCCCCTCAGTCCAGGTTGGCCGGGGTTCACCTCACAGCAGCTGGAGACTGAGGCACAGTAGAGNAACTTGGTGATCAAAGAGTCTCCCGGGAAGGAGGGCAGGAAGAGACCCGAAGGCCCCCCGGGGGGGGCGCCTCCTCCTCCTCGTCTGCCCGGCCCTGTGTCACCATTACGCTCTAGAGCCGAGCTGATCTTCACCACTACCTCCCGGCGTGGATCTCTGACAGAGTCACTCACACCAGACGCCAG